TGGAAAGACATGTGGTAATATTGTTCCATACACCTCTCACAAAACATGCTCCACGCATGGGAGTTGCCAAAATGCCTGGGCCACTTTATACCTCTCAGAGCTGTTATTGTAGGTGAACTCACATAGGTCTGTGTTGCTTACCTTTTGTTCATATTCTCTAAGTTTTCTGTGCAAGAATTAAGAGTGACTTCCATTTTGTAAATGAAATAAATATAGTATCAGAAATGTGCTGGGACAGTATGTGTGTTTGTGTGCTGTTTCTTATGGCACAGAAAACTGCTCCTTTCTTATTATTTCCTTTCCATTTTTCACTGGTGATGAAATAATTCTTTCCCCTTTTCCAGTTGGGATTCTCAGGTACCTGGCTTCACTTTTAGTGATATGTTTATTCAGATTTCAACCCGTGTCCCATCACAGTATGTATATGGATTTGGTGAAAATGAACATAATATGTTTCGGCGTGATATGAACTGGCACACCTGGGGAATGTTCACAAAAGACCAGCCTCCTGGGGTATGTAAAAAAATAATTTTGATTTCAAATTTGATTAGTCTTCAAGCTGCTGCTCTTTCTCTTTGATTTTACCTTGACATGGGTCTTTCTAGATTGATTTTCTACCAAGATAGACAGAGTTTTTGAAAACTTAAATGTTTCAAAGAATGAATTTTCTCTTGGGTAATAGACTTCATATGGCTGTAGACTATATGCTAGATACTCAGGTGTGGCTGAGCTGTTCTCAGAAAGTGGCATCTTCTCTTTTCCTGATTTGGGTGAATTAATCATGGAGGAAGGCACAGCATAAGGCTCTCCCCTGTTTTTCAGCATTTCATATCTCAGGCCTAGGCTTCTTTGAGTGCAGAGTCCAAAATGAGCATTCAAAAGACTTGACTCAAAGTTCATTGCAGTCAAGTAAAAGACAGTTTGAGCACTGAATCAGATCCTTGATGCATTTCAGTTTGACATAAAAAAATATTTATAAAATGGAGTAAGTTTATGGACATCTTTAAACCTATCATTTTACTTCTGACTAGAGACCCTAATCTTGAGGCTGAGGTGGCTGATAGAAAGTATGTTTTGTGCATTCTGCTCTTAAAGTTTTTAGACAATTATTTATTTCAGAATATGTTTATGTCTACTTGTGGCAGGGCACTGTTGGTACCTGCCACTTTAATGCCTGAGCCAAGCAGCCAGCAGGTGCTTGATTCCAATGGCCATTTTAGATCTCTGGCCGCCTATGTAAACAGAGCAGTTTGCTGCTGGCAGGCCAGGCAGTAACATTGCCTGGCTGCAAGGCTGAATGCAACATCTTGGAGGTAAGGGCAGGAGCTAAAGGGGATAGTTTGGAGGCTCCTGGTCTTGGGCATGACCTAAAACTTCACCCTGCTGGGAGTGGGTGGCCTGGTGGGGCTCCCAATTGTGCGGGAGTCCCCAGGAAATACCAGGCCAGTTACTACCCTGGTGAAAGGCGGGTCAGGGTGCCTTAATAACCCCATCTCCCACAACTGGGTGGGTTATACCGTAGTAGGGCCAAGAAGGCAGACCCAGGGTAGAGACTGGGCTAGAGGCTCAGAGGCTTGACTCAAAACACCCTTGACTGGTCAATGCTGGAGCCAGGACTAGAAGGGTCAAAAGGGCTAGGGGCTTACCGTGAAGCATGCCCAGAGCTAAGGGGTGAGGGTTTCCAAATGGTCTTGGAGGTGAGGCCAGGGCCTGTGGCCAAAGGTCCCAGGGGGGCCAAACCCAAAAGGGGGAACAGCTCAGGGAGCTAGGCAGCCCAGAATGAGGGTGGAGTAGGCCACCTGATTGGAGGGATCTAGTTGGCATCTGGATTGAAGGATTCTGGAGCCCAGTGTGCGGCTGGTTATAAGAACTGTGGATACCATCTACGAGGCTTGCGCTGTGGTGTAGGGGAGGAATGGAGCCACAAATAGCACCCCCTGGCATCGAGGCAAGAATGGGCAGCCTCCTGCTTAATTAACAACATAAATATGCATCATCAAGGCGTGGCAGAAGAAGAGGTGAGCGGTTGGTCCAGAAACAGGTGGGCAGGCCATTGAGAAACTGGCCCCAAGAAAGCCCCCTGTTACACTGCTCTACATTTAAAACCTCACATCTTTGATAAACTAGTATTTGCACAGGTAAATCACTGTTATGGTGTATTTAAGTATGCCTGTGTGTTCTCATGTACAATGTGGTTTGCAGGCTGTATAAGTTTAAAAAAGAAATGATGGTATCATTTGTCCCTGTCTTTTCTCTACATACTGGGTACATCTATACAACACTTTACTGTACAGTAGTTTAGTTTACTGCACAGTAAGCATCCATGTCTACATGTGCACACTTTTACTTCACAGTAACATTCACTACTCGTGAGTAAATTTGCTACCTGCCAATTTACTCCCCAGGTCTGGGAGCCTCTCTTGGTGCAGCACTGGCCAGCCTCTGTGGCAGCCCCAGCCTCAGGCCCCTTAAAAGCCTGCAGGCATTTTGAGCCCTTGGGCATAACAGCAGGGAGCCGGGTGGGACCTGACCTCTGCTGCTGCTGTATAGGCCACAGGCTACCTGTGCCAGCCTGCATACACCCCAGCATCACTGCCTGGCACTACAGTGCAACATGGCTGCAAGGCCCATGCCGTCCAGCTGTGCAAGGCTGCTCCAGGCTCCTGCCAGGCCTGCCAGCCCCCAGGTCTAGCTGCAACCAGCCCCTGGCTGCTAGAGTCAGCTTCCCCATAGCCAACCCTCAGCAGCCTATCCAGAACCCACAGGTACTGTCGGGCATCATCTTGCTGCACAGCTCCCAGTCCCATGGTATGCCCCTGCATTGGGTGCTGCAACCAGCTGCCCAGGCCAGGCAGCACAGAGACAGCCATGCAGAGGCCTGGAGAGCCAGCACAGGAACCTCAATGGCCTCTTCACTCATGCCATTCACCACCTCCTGGGGCTTCAGCTGGTTGCAAGAGGAGACTGGCAACCTTTGCCATTGTGGGGTGAGGCATAGGTGCAGCAGCAGTTCACCACCCAGCCCCCACCCCACCTGGGCCCAGACCTGCTGCTCACCTCAGCTCCACATGGGCACAGAGCAGGAGCTGTCAGCAGCAGGGCTAGGACTGTGCATTAGTCTTGCTGTTCCTGGTCCCCAGCTGCCAGAGGAAGGGCTGCCTGCACCAGGGGACCAGCAGCCACCATCACCCCTGGCCTACCAGAATCACTGCAGCATGCACACCCATGGGAGAATGGCCAGAAGCTGGGGTGCTGGCTACCTGCCCCTGGGCTATGCCCCATAGGTGCCCCTACCTCATAGCCACCCACCCCAGAAGGGCGCACAGACACACCACACTGTAAATAGTTTGCACAGGAGAGGGTATTCCATTGTTGGTGGGTGGTCTGGGTGGATCTCTGGTGTTGGGGAGGGAGAGTGGAGGGGAGGGGAAGCCTTTTTCTTGTGAGGACAATAAGCTGTTTTTCTGAGAAGAGTCCACAGTAAACATGGTGTTGAGAGTGGGTGGTGGGGCAGGGGTCCATGTGCAGCTGTCCAGGAGAGCTACAGCTGGGAGTGCAGGAGGAGGTGGTTGGCCAGTGTCTCTCATACCTGGTGACCTGGCCCCCACAGGCAGGTGTGTGGCTTGCCCAGGGCCTCAGTGTGGGGGATCTGCCACTTTTGCTGCCACCACAGGTGATGCTCCCACTGCTGGTTGTCCTCCACTCACCATGCCTCCTCTGCCCTGGCCTTGCAAAATAACTCTTCCTGGGCTTTGTAGATGTTATGCTGTATGCAGGCTGTGACAGTGACCTGGGGATGTTGTCTTCAGTGAACTCAAGGCAGGCAGTGAGGGTGTGCCAGTGTCCCTTGAGGTGGCTGAAGGTGCACTCCACCAGTGTGTGGGTCTGGCCCAGGCATCAATTGAAGAGGGCCTGGTGGTGGTCCAGCTGGCCAGTATAGGGCCGCATGTGTCAGGGCAGGAGTGAGTAGGTGAGATCCCTGATGAGAAGGGGTGGGAACACCATAGTGCCCAAATGTAGGTCTGGCACTCCCGATGCAAAGCAGTCACTTTGCACCGGGGCTAGCAGGGTGGAGTTCCAGAAGACATGGGAATGGTAGGCAATTATTTTCATTTCCACTTGAGTGTCCTCATGTATATTGGGCTCAAAATGTGAAACTCATAAGGAAAAAAAAAGTCTTTTACTGGGAAATGTAAGCATTTACCTTAATGTGATTTGGAAATGTATTAATGTATGCACATGATTGCATATGCTTAAGTAGGTATTTGAAGGGAAGGAAAGCAATTCAGTGATGACTTTTTTTTTAAAGTTATTTGTCTGTAATGAATTAATTTTATTGTAAGTGTATAGGAAGTATGTTACTATTTATAACATTTTATGCCAGAAACTAAAATTACCTTTGTTTGTTTTGCAGTACAAATTGAATTCTTATGGTTTCCATCCCTTTTACATGGGCCTGGAAAATGATGGAAATGCTCATGGAGTTCTATTGCTAAACAGTAATGCAATGGGTAAAAAAAAAAACTCACATTTTATTTTTTGAAAGTGTTTTCATAACAGTAATATTCACTTTTTCATAAGAGTAGTTTTATCTGATTATTCTTTTCCTGATTTTTCTGCTCTGGATTTTCAGATGTAATATTCCAGCCAACTCCTGCTCTGACGTACCGTACTATTGGAGGAATTCTGGACTTTTACCTGGTTTTGGGCCCCACTCCAGAGCTTGTTGTTCAGGAATACACTTCAGTAGGATTGGCATAATGTCACAACTTTATCACAATTTTTTCCCAATTGTTTTTATTCCCTTATTTGAAAACTCTGTCTTTTCCTAATTTATTTTAGCTGATAGGGCGACCAGTAATGCCATCTTATTGGGCTTTGGGATTCCAGTTATGCCGTTACGGATACAAAAATGATACTGAAGTCTCTGACCTGTATGAAGCAATGAAGAAAGCTCAGATACCCTATGTAAGGTTTTCGCAATTTTGCACTTACCATTGTTTGAACTCTGATTTCAGAATGCTCCATAAAAAAGGGGAAGAGGGAAAGAAAAAGAGAGAAAGCAACTGGCCATTGAAGAATAAATAATATTGTGTTCATTGTGCTGCTGTTAAACTTCTGTATGATTTTGGATGTCTAGATCTACAGCTATAATGGCTAAAATCCGCATAGTGGACTTAGATATCACAGTGCTGATCACTATAGCATCTAATTTTTTGACCCATACCAGTCCTGCAGAATTCACATCTGTACACATGTAGGGAACTTAGCTCACCTGCAAGGATGTGGCCCTACCAAAAAGTTATAGGGGATTTTCAAGTGGTGTGATGCTCACAGTTACTCCCACTGAAGCTGTTCCACTTTGTAAAACATAAATAAATATACAGATAATTACTTCATGGCCTAGTAGTAAAGATGCCCAAGTGTAAAATGGGGTTCCAATCCCTTTATTGGAATCTAGAACCTAGTACTTCCCTTTCCCAGCTGGGTGTGTCATACAACTTCCTTCTCCTTCAGAGAGCCTCCTGTATCAAGAGCTATAGGTGGTATAGTGAATTCTAGTGGTGCTTAGATATTGAGCTTCCCAGAACTGCAGACTGAGGTGCTTCTGGATATGTCTAGAAGCAGACCTTTACATGCTGAAAGAATTTTAAGGCCTCTGACAGATGTTACTCTTAAGATATGATTAACAGATTAATCACACCTTAAGCAGAGACCTGGCTACGTGTTCATTCAATTAATGCTATGATAAAAAGAGGTGTAATAACTTTGTGACTTATTCATCTTTTGTATAATAACATTGTGGCTAGATCCTATCACACTTTTAATTGTACATGTGGCCAGTGCTCCCAACCTCTGAAGGATCCTGATTGGGGCTCCCAGTTGGGGAGCGCACCATGTGCTTCAGCAGCTGGGAGCCCACATCAGGTGATCAGAGCTTCTAGTCATAGGAGCGCAGTGCACTCCCATGGCTGGGGGATCCAATAGCTGAAGGGGGCTCCTGGTTGAGGGATCACAAGGAGCCAAGGGTACTTGTACATGCAACAGAGATTTAATTTGGTTTAGTTCTCCCTAAATTGAAACAGTGGGTTTTTAAAAACCCACCATTTCCAGCATTTCAATTTAGGGAGAATTAAACCCCCGTGGTGTGTACACAAGGTTGGGTCCCAATCCTGAACGCTTACCTGCCTCCTGGGAGGCACTGCAGCCATGGGGGGGAGCATTGGGTCCCCGCACAGCTGAAGCAGGCAGGCAGGCTCCAGGAGAAAAAAACAAAAATGATCAGGCTCCTTGCTGCTTCCCCCCCTTCAGTTGAGCTTTCCTGCACAAGCTGCCACCGCGTCACACAACCCCTGAGCTGTGTGGGGCCTGGTGCTTCCCTCCGCCAGCAAGTGGGTGCTGCCTGGGGGTGACGACACCACAAAATTTCTCCAGTTTTATAAAATAACTTCTGATATCAATATATTTTTAACCATCAGTGAAATACTAATCATGCTCTTTTTGCTTTTTTTGTTAAATAAATCTTATAATATTAAGGTCTACCATATATTGATGTTCTTGCATAATCTTGGCATAATTTCAGTTAAGTTCATGCTTGTAAAATGAGCACAGACCCTGTATCCATGCTTGCCTTAGTTTTATGTTCCCTGAATTCATTGATTCAGTGGGAGCAATCATCATTGGCATTTCCTCAATACAAGGATGACAGATGGGGAGCAGACCAGGAACAGTAGAGTCTAAGAAATACAGGAGTACATTCTTGAACAAAAGTCATGGCCTAGATTAAGCATTTTGAAGGCAGTCATCCTGAAGCGGGTGCAGCTGATATGCTTGCTAGAAGTCCTCACAGAATTCATGGAGTGCTCACTGCTTGAAACTTCCCTGACACTGTTGTGGAAATTATTATTTCATTTCCCACCCACAACAGATGGGTGGTGGCAGCTTCAACATATAACTTATGAGTCCACCACTCTACCCATTTGTATTTATTTGCATTACAGACCAACTAGAAATACCAGCTAGGCATTGGCTCTCACTGTGCTACTTATAATGGATTAGCAGGGAAGGAGGAAAAAGAAAAAGCAACACGTATTTAATGCCAACATTGTAACATTCAGGTGTTTTTTTACAGTCATGGCTGGGCACTGGTTTAATAATGTTGGGAGTAAATTTCAAAGGCATGTGAGCACAATATAATGGTATCTCACATTACAGGCACTCTTTCATTATAGAGTTCAGATGACAGGGAATCATCTCAGCATGGCACAAACTGATGATCCATTTATTCCTCAGGCACTGACTTGCACACATGTATATTTTTCATATATATTTGAAAAATGGGACTTTATTCATCTCTAGTGGATAATAAATTTTCTGTCTTTCAAATAAATTTGGGATATGAGAGGTCTAATTGTGAATTGACCTTGATTTTTGGTTTAATATTCAGTAGATATTCTTGCTAGAAGATGCAGCAGTTTCCACTTTTACTTTTCAGAAAGTCAGCAGTTCTCTTGATTTACCTGCTATGATATAAATATGCACTTAAAAAAACACTTAACTTCACGCATTGTTTTTGTGAACCACAGGATGTACAATACACGGATATCGATTATATGGAAAGGCAGTTAGACTTCACTCTTAGCCCACACTTCTCTGGATTGCCAAAACTTGTTGACAAAATGAAAGCAGAAGGAATGAGATTCATCATTATTCTGGTTAGTCTTCAGGCCTTCCCTCCCTCCTCAAATTGCTATTCACCGTGGCAGGATATATCTCATTCCTGATACATATTACTTCATTTCTAGGCTTGATTTCTGAACACAAATTTAAAATAGTTTTTCCTTTAATTTTAGGATCCAGCAATTTCTGGAAATGAAACCAATTATCTAGCCTACACAAGGGGCTTACAGAATGATGTCTTTATCAAGTGGCCTGATAGTAATGATATCGTATGGGGAAAGGTACTGTTTTTGGACAATTGATGTCATTAGAGACAGCATGTCTGAGTATGATTTTATGTTAGCATGGCTAAGTAGTGATTTGACCTTGAGCTACAAGCATCTACAAGAGGAAGAGGGTTCTGATTCTAGAGAGTCCTTTTAATAATGTAGAAAAAAGATATGATGACATTTAGTATTTAGAAGCTGAAGCTAGACCAGTTCAGAAGTTCTTTAGCCTGCATTATAAGGAAATCTAAGACAATTATAAAAATCCCCTTCAGGTCTTAACATTTATTATAGCAGTAGCAAATCTAAGGGGATATTATTCTATCTCTTCAATTAGGAGAGAAGTCCTGTTTTTTATGCCAGCATCTTCACAAAGCAAATCCCAAAGGCAAATTCAATAGGAACTCTCCACAAAAAGCTAATCATATGTCTCAGTTCACATCAAAATATGTAAAAGTAAAATCCTCATGAGAATAATGCCTAATGATACTGAGTGAGGCTTACTAACTGGATTTTACTACTGAAACCCAACATCTGTAAGTCCACCTGGAATAACATAGCTGAATAATGAACTGTCATCAACACCCATCCATGCATGATGCAAAATGTTCATGCTACCTCTGGTGGTACCAGCGGATTAGGCCAAAGGAAAATGTGTACATGGAATAGTGTCATTCCTTTTTCTTCATGCACTATTCAGGACTTGAGATGGTTGGCTGGGGAAATAACCCCAGATGAAGGTGCCTGGAGGAAGCCCTTGTTCCATTTAGGAAGGGAACTGCAGAGGTGGTATCACACTATAGAGTCTTGTCATCTCTGCATGGAAGACCATGGGTCCTAACTATTTTCTTGAGATCTGCATGGGTTGAGTGAGTTTTGGAGGCTGAACACAAGCTGTTTTGAAGAGGGATAATGTACATACCCTTCCAAAGAACCAACAACACTTTTCCTGTCCTTTCCATTAGTTTTCTTATCTAAAGAGAGCATGGTTTTTACAGCTTTTATTTATTTCTCCCTTAATACTGATTTTCTATGGACTGGTACCCCTGAGATGAACTATGCACACAGAAGGGTTTCCCTTCATTTTAACAGTAATCTCTTTAAAAAATAGAGTGGCCTGGGCCTGTATGTTCTAATGAAATTCAAATCTTAGCAGTATCAGCGATGGGTGGAACACATACCTTATTACTGATAATTATGTGAAAAATTGGTCTGAGTTCAATTTTATACAAAAATGAGTCCTATGTTCTTTCGATAAAGAGGTTGCATCTCTTGTAGTAATAGCTATCAGCCTTAGAAATAGTCTTGCTGGAGAGGAACTTGGTTTGAAAGGACACAGTTACTATTGAATCAGTGAGGAAGGATCAGGAAATATTACTGTGGGTGATCACAAGAGTCCCTTTAAAGAAAAGAAACAGCTTGGGGGGGGGCGGGGGCGGGGGCTTCAAAATGAGAGTCTAAAACAGAGTTTGTCATACATTATGTAACTACCGTGTTTGTACTGATCTTTTAAATAGTTGTTTTCCTTTTAATAGGTCTGGCCAGATTATCCTAATGTTATTGTTAATGATTCCTTACCCTGGGAAACCCAAGTGGAAGTAAGTATGTATGCCATTGTTAGCACGATCATTTCCTACTGACACCAAGCCACACGGGCAGAGGGAACAACACATCTGTTCAAAATAGTAGAATAACTATGTAATGAAGTGGTTCTCAAACTTTTTGGACTTGAGGCACCCCTCCATATTGAATGGCATCCAGTTTCAAAAAACTATATATATATTACAGAGCTTAGCTCCTTGCAGAGGGGCTGGGCATTGGAGGTGGATTGGCCGGGCAGGGACAAGCCTGAGCCCACACTTCTCTAAGACCATTTATGCTGTTCTGTTTTAGGGTTTTATGCCAAGACCAAATGAGCCGCTAGTGTTCATTTATACTCTGACAATGTAAAGTGGCCACAAAGTTGGTGTACATGTAATTTTTGCTTGATTTAAGAACTCGTTAAACTACCAAAGTGGAGTACAGCTGTTTTAATATGAGTGAAAAGAGACCCTGAGAGTCAGAAACTTGAGGATGAATTCATGATTCTACAATGATTAGAAGTGTTCTTTTAAATAAAACACTTTGCTTTTATGTAAATTTGTCTATTCCAATAAACAAAGTCATTATACTTTGACTACTAAGTAGCCAATTATCAGTGTTTATTTGTGAAAAAAAACAAAATTGAAATTCACCTTTGCAAGCAACACTTTCTTCTTCCATCTCTCTGCATTTATTATTCACTTAAAAATAGCCAAACAATTTTTCTTTTATTATTCTAATAAATTTTAAATCCCTTTTAATCTGCTAGCATTTTAAGCACTCCTGAAGATTAGTTTATTTTTTTCTGGGTTTTTTATGTCAACACACAAAGGAGAAATGCATACGTGTTGATTACATAAAATCAATCTAAAAGGCATATATGTCTACCACAAATAAAGCACTAAATGGCAGAGGGAAAGAAAAGAGAGGGAGGGATAAGAGAGGAAAACATAAAGTATGTAAGGAATAATAATCACTAAACTTAATTTTGAATTTAGTTACCAACATCTTCTAAAAAATCTTTTTATATGGCATTAAACTTTTGAAAGCAGTTACAGTTGCAAAACCCAGTTTTTTCCATGGATGCTAGTTGTGACATTTGATAATCAGAGATTTTATGCCTGTGTTTGCATATTTCAGTTACAAAATCCATAAACTATGAAAAACTTTTACTGTTGTAAATGCAGTGGTTCCATCTATTTCTAAGTATCTATCATTTTTGCAGCTGTACAGAGCTTACGCAGCTTTCCCAGACTTCTTCCGTAACACCACAGCTCAATGGTGGGAAACGGAAATAAGAGAATATCACACTAATCCTAATCAGCCTGAAAAAAGTGTAAAGTTTGATGGCCTTTGGATTGTAAGTATTTATATTTTATCTTCTGAATTAAAACCTGTTTTAAATTTCGGAGGCTTTTCTGAGGCTAGGGTTTATACTAAAATTTGGTTGTAAACCTTAATGCTATTGGACTGCAAAGCTCAGGGCAGTCCTGGAAAAGAATTTTCCCAGAGGTTTACCTGTTCAGATCCAGACTATTAAGAGATGGTGGCCATGTACAGTGAGTACACCCAAAGCTAAATTACTTCAAAAGAATGGGAGAAGCAAGGATTTTTGTGGGTGATATCTTTTATTGATTGGGATAGACTTGCAAAGCATTCTTCACCAGCTCTGAGGAAAGAAGCAGGTGCAGCAATGGCTGTTTTATTAAGACACTGCTGTTTGCCACTAGGCAGTCCTAATTTTTTCATTATTGAGATATTTTAGTTTCATTACCTTATTGGCATTATTGTGCTTTTTGTATCTCCAGCTATTGTTTTTTAGGTTGATCCTACTGTTATTCACATCTTTAGGGCTGTCCACAACATGAGGTTATCAAACAATTTTCCATAATTATTCTCTCTGCAGGACAAACTACAGAACTGCACTACATGAGGGTTTTTAGTTTATTTCTAAAATGGAATGGATACAATTTCTGTTGGAGATAAAATATTAATATATTGTTATATCCCTAGTATACGTTAATATTGTTGACATTTTTCAGTAATGCTACCCATGGCTAGATACAGATATTCAGAAAGCCCAAGGTAGAATTGATCTAAATTACACAGTTTTCTGTAAGTGGCACAGGCTGTGTGTAGACGAAACAAGAGGCATGTGTACATGACACTTTAAAGTGGGCTAAATGCTTTTGCACTGCTTTAATGTTGTTGGTGTTTGCGTGCATCCGTAGCGTATTCACATTCCAGCCTCTGTAGGAAATTCAGCTGCATTATGCGCCTTAAATGACTTGGGGTGCAGCAAACTAAAACTCCTCAAAGGAGTCCCTACAGCCATGGAACGAAGCGCTGGGCTCCATGCACCTCCATGGCTCTAAGTCAGCAGAATGTGTACATGACCCAGGGGGTTAATCAGCCCTAAATTGAAGCGGTGTTTTTTTAAAACCCACTGCTTCAATTTAGGACCCACATTTCATCTACATATGCCTGTAGTTTTGATCATTAATGAACAGAATGCACATTCACCCTTTGGTAGGGTTGCAAGTCTTTGATGGGGTTCTGCCATTTTAAAACTAGTCTATATGTGCCAAATTTCTGTTCTGTTATGGGTATAGATTGGTTCTGTGTGCTAACTTCTGTTCTGTTTCATCAGAAACTGCTCTATACTTGTATTATAGTGGTAAAAGTGCAGTGTCTATACCTGGCTTGATTGTTAGTTAAACCAGTAGACAACATAATGGAGCAACTGTAGCTACACACAAACTATTAAATGTTTCAAAATTCAGAGATGCAAGCATTCATACATCTGTACTCTGTCTTGTTCTCGAGGTAGTGGGATTTATAAAGAGAGACTGAGAGGATGCACGCTATGTGATCAAAATATTGACACCAGCCAGCGTGCACTCTGTCATAATGAGATCAGAGTCTAAGAATAAAGTTTCAGTCCATTACTCAGGATGCTGCAAAACCCTTGGGCTGGATCCAAGAATAAAGGACTTAGGGACTTAAAATGGGGCTCAGGTTGAATTTAGGCTTCATAAAATCCAAATCTGCAATCCTGAAAAACTTGCTAAGCCATTGTCAAACTTTGAAGGCACCTGATGTTCATGGCGCTGAATTTTTTTACTTTAAAATTCTTTAAGCATATAAAGGCTTCATTTCTGGGCATATGCAAAAGCACTTCACTTTTGATAGGAATGAGCAACTTCAAGTACAGGTCACACCTAACCCTGGTGTGGGTCAGGATATGGAAATGAGGCTTTCCTTTGCTGAAGTCCATTGAATGGTTTGATAAGCATTTTCAAAGCATGCATATCACAATACTGAAATAACTCCCTACAAAATACTATTCTTTCCACCCCTCCCAGTGTATGTTTCACATAATTGTTTAGTAGCAAGAACACTTTCTCTAGAACTGGGAGCATTGGGTTTGATTCATTAAGGAAACCAAACCTACAACTCTCTTCTCCTAGGTGAGCACCTTAACCATCAAGCTATTTTTTTTTAATATTAAATAGCCAGTAGTTGAATTATGACTTAGGAACAGGGGCCATTACCCAGGTCTCCCCTGCCCCTTCCCAGGTGAGCACTTCAATTATGTAGTTATACTCTTGCAGTCTGTCTTTTTCTGGTCTAATTTTAAGTTGAATTCCTTTCTTCACAATGGCACAGCATCCACAGGAGGAGTGGACCATGCCCTGCTGTCCCATCTAGGATAGTTTATACTAGAGAAAAAGTCTTAGAACATTTTCTTGAAAGTTGGGTTTTAATTTCCTCTGATGGAGGAAAAAAATGACCCTGGCTTCCCCGGTTCCTAGATGATTGGTCAATGAACTAGATGTATGTAAAAGGAGATCCACGTCCATTGTTCTCTGTTTAACAGTGAACTCAGAGTTTCTTTGAAACAAAGAAAGAGCATACATGTTGGGGAGGTAGGGAGCAAAGTTCTGGGCTTTAGGCGCTGTTTGGAAATCTTAGACCACATTCCATCATTTTTAAACCAGTCTATGTGTACCAAACCTCTGTTCTATTATGGGTATAGACTGCTTTCCAATCCCTTATAGACGTTGCACTTCTACCAGTATATCTGGCCTGTGGGTCACTAGTTAAGCCAGTGGACAACATAATGCAGCAAATGTAGCTCTCTAGAAACTATTACATGTAGCCTTGAGTCACTGTGACACAGGTTGGGTATATATAGGAGGAACAAAAAAAGGAGATTCCAAAAGGACCATGGAAGGTTAGGACTTCCAAAAGGCCTCTTACAGAGGCCAAAGGAAAATTATCTGTGAGTATCTTGGCAGGGAGCCTTTCAGATCACTAGTAATTATTTCTAGGAGCTTATTACAACTCATACATTGAGAAGGGAAATTTTAGAAAGTAAGAATTAGCACTTTGCAGGTTAAATCTCAAGAAGCAGCAATATTTTTCCTTCCTTTTTTTCTTAGAAATAAAAATTTTGAATATTATTATCTGAAATAAAGGTAAGTTGAAGAGACACAAATACTAAAAAAAAATTGCTTTACAAGCACCTGAAGGACTTTTTCTATGCCTCTGTTTGCAATAGAGGGTTCAATAGATAGTAGTGTATTATTGACACAAATAAGATTCATGTTGCAAGTATGTTTATATTATTTCTCATTATTTAGGACATGAATGAACCGGCAAGTTTTGTTAATGGTGCAGTTGGAGGCTGTAGAGATGCAATACTAAATTATCCTCCGTACATGCCACGTAAGTATAACAACTGTCACTTACTCTCTTAGGTCCCCCCGGTTATTATGTCATTTTCTTAAAATATTGCTTGGCCAAATTTTCAAGCATGGGATGCCTAAAGTCAAGACATGTAAATCCATGTCTTCAAAGCTTATGAATAGGGCCGTACTGGATTAACCGTTGAAGTGGGCTGTGCCGCAGCTCCTTTAATCTTACAAATTCTCCTGAACACCCTGCTGTTGGTGATTGGTGGAGGGGCCCTGCTTGCAACTCATTCCTGATCAGCAGGGAAGCAAAAACCATGGGTTTAAGCTTGGCACCAATTTTGTCTCCTCACCAGTCAGCAGCAAGCAGTGGGGCCACTGGGGCCCCTCAGCCAATCAGTGGCAGGGAGACAAAAACAGCACCAAGTTTAAACCCACAAATTTCACTTCTCTGCTGATCAAGAATGAGCTGCAAGCGAGGCCCCTCCACCAATCATTTGGTGGGGGGAGGGAGATGCAAAGGGGAACCTGCAAGATTAAAGGAACTGCAGCACAGTCCACTTGTGCCCTGAATCCGGTAGGGCCCTACTTATGAGCTCTTGCGGCAGAAACTGGTTTCTTAAGACATCTAAAGCTGTTTACATATGGATTTAGATACCTGACTTCAAACACAAACAAAAATGTAGATCCAAGTGTTTTTTTTTCCCTAGTTTATAAGTTATGGAAATTTGTTTCTTCAGATGAACAATAAAGTTCAGTTTTAAGGATTTAAAAAGTATTCCTCTTGGTTCCCATCTCTAGCAATGGGCCTGATTTAAAAACCTTAATTTTAAGGTAATGGACTTAAGGAATACACTTTAGATACTCAATCCAATAAAAATGTTCTTCAGTCACCCTTGAGTACCACCATATAGAAACTCCAGAACCAAGCACTGCTGCCTCTGTTAATGAACAATTTGTGCTCAAATTGTTAGAATATTGGGACTTCAGCAGAAATGTACATGACATGTAGTTATTTAGGTGGATATTTCAAAGGTAGAAAGGATAATTATGCACTCAAATTCCTCTGAAAGTCCTTTTCTCCTCTGAACACCTCTGACCTAATGCATTGCTCATATTTTCATTACATTGTCATCTGCTTACTAATTTTTTCAAACCTCTTGCATAGTATCTCAGTATAAATTTGTGCAGCTATCACCAGTTGCATACTCACTCATAGGCATTTTCCATTCTGCAGGTGATATGGATGATACATAGAGATGCTTATAAAGTGTTAGGATATCCTTTGCTGTTCGTGTAGGCTAAGGAGTCAGTATTACTTTCATAGTCCCTTATTAATACACAGGAGTACTGGAGACTGCCAGTATTCACATGCTGGGCATTTAAAAAAGCAAAAAGAACTTGAAGAATGTATTGCATTGGAAGGTAGAGGAGAATGGAAAGAGAGAGAAAACTCAGATACTGATAAAAAAGTAATTATTTAGTTTGTTAAATATACTTAGTTATTTGAGAATGCCAATATTAAAATTTCATTTCCATTAGATTTGGAATCACAGTCACTTGGATTGAATCACAAAACCTTGTGCATGGAAAGTCAACAGTTCCTGCCAGATGGAAGTCCAGTTAGACATTATGATGTGCATAATCTCTATGGATGGTCACATGCTAAACCTACCTACGAGTAAGGTTTTTTTCTTCTCTTTTTGAACAGTCTCTTTATGCTGTAGTCCCATATGCTGTAGGTGCTTCTTTACTGAAAATAGCAATGGATGAATCTACACAATGTTTATTGCAGTTGCCTAATTAGCTCTGCAGTAAACATTTCAGTATCTACACATGTGGCCCTGTTAGGCTGCATTGAAATTAATAAAGTCTGCAGCAGGTTAGTACTTGCAAATAAAAGTACTATTCTGCTGCAGAGGGTTTTTTTGTGCACAACAGCACACATGTAGATGCTGACAGGGCTGGCTGGGGTATGAGAGTGCTTCAGTGCAGGGGCTGCCTGCTGGCTAGCCCTATGCTGAAACACCATTATGTCCCAGCCAGCCCCTCTGCAGCATGTTGAGCCAGGTGAGAGCAGCCCCAGGCTGGCAGGCTGACCCCCGGGACCCTCTGCCAGCCAGGGCTGCTCCAACCCAGCTCAACGGGCTGTGGTCCTGGGTGCACGTGGAAATGCAGTGCCTGGCAGCAATAAACTCTGGTGCAATATGCACCGAATTTATTACTTCACATAAATGTGCATGTGTAGATGTGCCCCATGAGATGCATTCAAAGATTTAAACAAATATTACAAGGTGCAACAATTATCGTTGTGAAAATTGCAGGCCATTTCTATTTTATTTTACATTGTTCTAGAAAATTAACTTCTAAATTCATGCTTTGTGTCCAGTAATTTATATTTGTGACCCAGTTTGGGATTTATTAGCCACATTCAATTGATAACCTTTGCTTTTTCTTCACTTTAATTCTTCCTAAGTTCAAGAATGAGTTGTTTCAAATGTATAACAAGCATAGTTCTCCAGTAGCTTTGAGTGCAATAATGACGTAGATACTTTGACTTTTCTGGCGTTAGATATGTTAACAGGATAATATATTATGTACTAAGTTCTTAATTCTGATGACCTTGCACGTAGTGTATTCAAGTCATGGGGAAGGGCTGGGGCAAAGAAAAATCTTGCTCTACCTGACTTTCATTCCTGCCTTCTCCTGACCCATCTTAGGCCCAAATTGCTCCCTGTACAATTAACAACTACAACTGTTCTAATTTACTCTGGCTAGTACTGTCATTTAGGGTCTGCTCGGGGCTGGGGACTGGCAGAACATACTGTGCTATTATGTCCTTTGTCCTTTTATCCCACCCTCTGTCCTTAATCCCACCCACTTTTCCCCACTCTGAAATGTTCTCTGCCCACCTGCAGCTTGCTCTGGTGTGCCCATTTCCTTTGCAAACAAGTATTTTACCAGCAAATGCTAGTATAAAGCCAATATGACAGCTTTGCCCTGGGATTCTTTCCCTGCCAGAAAAAAACTCAGTTTTGCAAAGCAGCTGTTATTTTGAAAATGCCCCCTTCAAAAATAAATTCTCAGGTAGCCTAGACCTGCTGTGGCTGCAGCTACTCTGCCTGTCCATCCTCCCTTTTATATTGACTGTGGTGCAAGTTTCCTCTGCATGTGAATCCCAGCTGTTGCAACAGTCCTCAGGGAATTGTTGATATCTAGTATATATTGGGTCATCCATGTGTCTGTTTTCATTTTACACTTGGGACCAACTTGGTGTTTGAATGGCTCCAGGGTCAACAGGTCATAAACAAGATATAAAGCATCCTTTCCACTTCCCACTCCAAGCAGTTCTTATTTCAGCTGGTCACAAAGCTGATAAATTTGAAAAGGCAGAATCGAGTTGAAAAAGTCACCTGTGTAAAGGAACAGAGGGAAGGTTACCTATAAGGATACCATGTGCACCCATTTTAAATTAACATCGTTCTTTCTTGATCATGAAGAGTTCCTGGTCATGAAGAATTCACATTCTTATGACCAAATCTCTCAGCACAAAAAGGTACAAAGAATGATGCTATATTTAAGCATTTGGCTCTTTTGTGTTTCTCTTTCTTCTCTTGGTGGTGGTGATGTGGGGATGATCACACTTCACATGTTCTAGAGTTTCTTGCTCGGTACCATGATCTTCATGAGGTTTATGCAAAGAGGAGGAGTAAAGGATTCAGAAACAGCTTGCAGTGGAACAGTTAACTGAAGTCAGGACCTGGAAATGTAATATATTTTTAATAGGAACACTGTATGTACGTGTCAAGGACAAGTAGACACGGTTTCTATACTTGTGAAACCAGTGAGGCCCTGAATTGGGTTGCACTGCTTCATGCCCTGCTACTCCCCCAAGTGGATGCTGGACCCTCGCAGCTCTTTCCACCTGCTCTGACCTTTCAGGGGACCATCCTGTTGTCTTGCCTGGCGCATCTTCATGTTGAAGTTAAACAGGAAGGCTACCCTTATAGATCAATGGGCTCTCTCCAGCTTCTTGTCAGGCTCAACTGAGCCTGCTTGATTCAGAGCCCTGACATACTTCACCATCTCTCCATGTCAAGAACACTGCCTCTTAGGGGCCTTTCAGGACTTAAACATTTGTCCAGGCATTGGCCCTCTGGTCTTGGCTCTCTTGCTCTAGCTGGGCCCCTCATCCCTAGGTCCATTGCCCCAGACCCCAGGATCCTGGGTTCCCCAGCTCCAGCCTTGCCCTCCTGATTTCTGGGCCTCTTGGGTTCTGGGCTTGTGCCCTCAGTTTTGGGCGATTCAGGCCTTCTTTCCTCTTCCATCCTTTCTGGGGTCTGATCCCATGCCCACAGTCTATTTTATTACAGGTTCAGATCCTCAGTTTGCAACCTAGTCCTCCAGCAACAGTAGCAGTGCACTCCTTTGGGCCTGCCCGCAGCCTCCAAGCCTTCCCTCACAGCCACTCCCCTTTCTCCACTATTTAAACAGAAGCACAGATCTAAGCCGAAAACTGCTTCTGAACTGAAATCCTTCCTCCCTGCCTGGGGCCATGTCACACCACAATAAAAAAATAAATGTATAACCAGAATAACTAACTTAGCTTTGATGCCTGGTACTGCTGGAGCTTCCTTTTAGCCCTGCTAGGATCTGGAGCTCCCTAGGCAGGCCAGGTCCCATTCCCCTCTGCCTTGGCATTGGTCCTGGCTGTAATAGGGAACCCTTTTCCCTATTATGGGGGTTGTCAAATGGGGGTACACGTACCTCCAGGGGTACTTTGAAAGGTCCCAGGGGACACGTGGGGGTGGGCGGGGATGGAGTGCTGTCCTGCTTCACATCTGTCTGCCCGCCACCCCCCCACCCACTTTCTGACCAGCCACTCACCCTCCCCACACACACTTCACATCTTGCTGCTTGCCACCCCCACCCCCTGCTCTGTGTCCAGCCTCTCGCCACCCTCCCCATCCCGGGGTACACTTATTAAAAAAGAGGCCACCGGATTAAAAAAAGTTTGAAAACCCCTGCCCTATTACATATAAAGACAGGCTGTGTCTTTAAGGAGGCCAGCCTGGGGTGAAATCCATGCCACCCCAAGGGAATATATAAGAGGCCTAACCACAGGAACCAGGCAAGAGGGAGGACACAGCATAGAGACAGGAGCTTTGCCAGTGGAAATATGAGCTAGCTGAAGAGGCACAGGTAGCTAAGCCCTGAAAGGCAAGCCAGGTCTGGGAGACTTCAGTTAGGATCCTTTTCTCAAGTGACACTTTGAACATTGATTTACATTACAGTTTAGGGAAAAAATAGTGTCCAAGCAAAACAGATATTTAAGAAAAGTCTCTTTTAGTGTCTCATGTTTCTGTGTGCGCCTCGTCTTTAAATACAATACATTTAGTCCTTTCTCTTCTATCATGGTTTACTGCTGCTGGGACACAGGGAAACACTGTCACAAACAAATATAACTACTCTTTACGACTGTTTATTTCTGAAAAATGTATGTGAAAGATTAGGAATAAAATACGATTCTTTCTCAGAATGCAAAGCAGGAAATTGAATACAAAAGAGTAGCTGTCATAAATAAAAAATATGTATATACCAAGGTTTACAAGAGCTGACACTGTAGTTTACACTAGAAAATGACCTGTATCCTCAAATACAGTCCAGATCACTGAAGTCAGTAACCAACAACTTTAGGATTTTTTTTTTTCTTAGCATTTGACAAGTTTGCTTTCTCCATAGAGCTTTTTATGATTCATCCAGTCCTCCTTCCTTGGACAAACCAAGGTGTTTGTGTCCTCTTTCTAATTCTGTTCAAACCATGACAGACCTTTCTTAAAGTCGCTGGAATTCTTCCAGCAGAAACTAAAAGCTAATTTAAAAAAAAAAATCTCCTTTGGAGACATCCTTATCTCCCTTCCTTAGCCAATCACATCATAGGTGATGACTCAGCATTTGTCTCTAGTTCTTCCATGGAATAAAGGGAATAGTGTTCTTTTTTTCTATGTAGTAACTTAATGCAAGCAGTTCTGTCTCCATGATCATTGTGGTTTCTTCCTTCTTCTCACATGTCAAGACAGGGTATTTGAAGGTAGCATCTGAACTGGTATTAGACTCATAGGATGTGTCCAGACAAGTGTGGATGTATATGGGGGTGGGGGGGGGAGGGCAGGGAGGAGGGGGGTGACCCTGAGAGATCCTGGATTCAAAAAAAGCCCACACCAAAAAAGAGTGGAGTAGTGCACGTGGCAGCAGTGCATGCTTCCCAAAACCAGAGCAGAGCCTGGCCAGCCGGAGCCATACTCCAGCTGCCAGCCATGATTCCTGCCACAGCTTCAGCTCTAGGAGGCCCCCAGGACCACAGGAAAGGCACAGTTGCTGGCCCCAGCCTCCCCTACCACATCCTGAGTAACCTGCCATGCATCAGAGCACACATGGCATGGGTATTCCCCAGGGACAAGTAGCACTGGCACAAGAGACAGTCTGGGGAAATAAATGTCTGCAGTCATCTGGATGTGCCCATGAAGGCTCAAGCAGAAAGATCAAAGCATAGACTGATCTCTTCCCCTCCCTCTATGCACAAGTTGTATGATCTAACTTTGCCTACTGGAAGACTTTGAATGATAGCATCAAAGCAACTAGCCTGGCTATTTGCCCTTCAAACTGGATCTACATAGTACT